ACAAACACCCTCGGGCTCAGCGAGAGGCCGAATGGGAGCACGGTGTATTCGTAACACACTCCCTGAAAGGCAAACCTCAGAAATTTCCTGTGTGGAGGGTACACGGGAACATGAAAGTATGCGTCCCTCAGGTGGATTGAGGTGAACCAGTTGCTCTGGTGAATCAGACGCAAAAGGGATGAGAGCGTGAGCATTTTGAATCTGTACTTTCTGAGGCATCGGTTCAGGGCCCTCAGATCCAGGATCGGGCGAATCCCGGTCCCTCCCCGCTTCGGGACCAGAAAGTACCTGGAGTAGAAACCACTCTGAGACCGATCGGGAGGCACAATGCATATCGCTCCCTTCTCCAGCAGGGAGGAGATTTCTCCCTGAAGGATGTGAGATGACGACCCCTGGGCGTGGGAGAACACTACGCCGGAGAATCGAGGAGGAACAGAAGCGAATTGGAGCCTGTAACCCCTCGAAATAGTTCTCAGCACCCAACGTGAAGCAGAAACCGCTGTCCATTCCTCCATGTGAGTGGAGAGCGGTGACACAGCCGTGACACACGGAGCACCAGCTCCCTCCAGAGGTTGTGGGGCAGCGGTGCTCGTGGCAGCCACTGCGCATGCGCGAGGGCTTTGTGCTTTGACGGCCCAGGCTTACGGGGACGACCCGTGGCTGGCGGGAAAGTCCGCCAGGGGTCGCCCCCGCCTGGAACCGCTCATGGGTGAAATTTTTATTGATATTTTCTGCGCCCTTGACATCTTGTCTGGATGCGACAGCAAACCTTTTAATGCTCCTTGAGCGTGACATGCTTGTGAAAAACAATGTGAGTGCTTGTGACGTGTGTTTTGAGCCGGCACCGCCGGCTGCACGTCCTGGCCCCACCCTGGACCGCTCGGGAACTCTGCCGGAGGGGTTCCGTGAGGGGGGGAGAAAGCACCATGGCAACATCGAACAGGAGGAGCTGGCGAACGGGGAACCGCCAGCTGCAGCGTCGGGAGGGAAGAACTCCGACAGGCTGCCCACTTCTTCCTCCTCACCTGCTGACCGCCGTGTCTGGTGGATTGTCCCGGCGGCGGAGCAGCTTGGTTGCCGGATCCATGAGGCCAAACTGGTCGAGGCTCTGAGCCCGAAGGAGCTGGTTGGACAGCTTGAGGCTTCGGGCGCTTTGGGATCCAGATCTGAGGCTGGACTCGGGCAGCTGCCTGAGGCAGGTTCAGCCGAGCCGGCAGCGCCGGTGAGGGTTTACGGGGAAGGCAGAGATGAAGGGCTTCATCCTCTTTCTTTTTGGCCGCACACCGTTCCTGCATTGATGCCAGGGCAGAGCCAAAAATGCCTTCAGGCACGATTGGCATGTCCAAAATGTCCTCCTTCTCTCTCTCAGAGAGGTTGGTGAGGTTCAGCCATCGTGCACGTTCTTGAAGCACCATCATGCCCATAGCTTTAGCCGTAGCATGGACCGCGCAGCGCTGCACACGCAGGCAGATGTCGGTCAGTACGGTGATTTCCTCCCACACCTCCGGGTACGGCTTCGTATGCATGTCCTCACAGAGCTCGGCTTGGTACGCCGAGAGCATGGAGGAGACATTCAAAGCTCGGACCGAGATGGCGGCAGCCTTGTACGCCCGCTCGTTCAGCGCCGACTGGAAGCGGTCCGCCTTCGCAGGGAGAGCGGGAGGCCTGGAGGAAGTCGCCGAGAGCCGTGGGTGTAGGTGGGCTGCAACCAGCGGTTCCATCGGCGGCATGTGAAGCATGCCAGCTTTCTCCATCCCTTCGAAGTCCAGCGAGGAGGCTCCTTGGACAGGAGACCTGGAGCTGAACGGGTGTTTGTCCCAGGAGGACCTCACTTCTTGGAGTAGCTCCGGGAAGGCGGGAAGGAGGGGCTTTGCCGCCCTCGTGGCCTGAGGCAGCTTCTTTCCCTCGTAGCGGGATCTGACAGCCTCAGTGACCACGGTGGGCCAAGGGATGTTGAGCCTGGTCGCAGCGCGTCGGCAGACTGACTGCATGTCCAGGTGGGCGGCCGGAAAAGCCGCTCCATCCCTGGGAGAGGACGGAAAGCTAGGCATGGAGGCCTGAGCGATGGGGAGAAAGACGTCGTCCTCCTTGTCCTCCTCTGAAATGAGGAGTTCTGAGGTGTCCTCGTCGTCTCCGTAATCCAACTCCAACACGTCCTCGGTGGGGTGGCTCGGACCGGCCAGTTCGAGCTGTGAGCCCCAGCTGAGTTCGGCACACGGTTCCGGCTCCGGGAGGACATGTTCGCTGGCGTCCCCAGGCGGTGGCCCAGGGGCCGGCAGGCAAGGGTCCTTCCCCGACAGGCTAGCTTGGCGCGCTAGCCGCCGGCGAAGGCTCTTCAGGGTGAAGCAAGCGCAGCTCTCACATGACCCGGGGACTTCCAATGCCAGCTGGGCGTGTTCCAGCCCGAGGCAGCTCGAGCAGACCCTGTGCGGGTCTTTGCTTGAGATTTTGTTCCCACAGGTACAGAGGCGAGCTCCTGCGCCGTCGACTCCTCTGGTGGGAGGAGCGGCTTCCATGTTGGCTAACTGGTGTGTTAGCATAGAACGAACAGATGCACTGGAGTGTGAAGCTGCTCGTTATGCCCCGAGCCTATGGTGAAGATCAGGACAGAAGGACGGTAATAGGGCTGCAACAAACGATTATTTGGATAATCGATTAATCGGATGGGGTCTCGACACGATTAATCGATTAATCGGATTACATGGGGAAATTTTTAAAAACTGCTTGGGAAACGTTATTTCTCTCCTTCCTTCACTTTATTTAACACAACATTATTAGAAAACAGTTCAATAGCAGAAAAACAACATGCCATCACCTAAATTGTCTTATAAGGTGTATAGACAGAGACCCTAAGCTACATCTATCTGTGACCTAAAATGCTTGGTCCAAGTTAAACAGCTTAAGGGCAATTCTCATCTGTTTTGTTTGATCTCATCTGTTGACATTTATTTTAAATGTAATTAAACGTAGGCTGTGAATTAATCAAAATTGATCACTATTTCCAAAAATGACTGAAAAAATACCAAATAAAACAAAAGTAAATGAATGCCATCCTCCTTGCGATGATGCCCTGGGCAACTGCCATAAAGTCACATCAAGAAATGCTGCTGATCATTCCAATGATCCCAAATAGACTCGCATTAGGCCACATGAAAGCAACTGAACCCAAAAATATATTAACCAGTATATAACTGCACTCACACACAACACGCCTGCAGCAACAGTTAGGACTCCTCCCTCCCTTTTAAAAGCGTTTTTGCTTCTGAGGACATTGTGGTCGTAAAAATCTAATTTTTCTGCTTTAGTGCTGCAACAAGGTTTTATTAATAATAAATTATTATACCTTTTGTTTTACTACAGCATCGGTAAGCTTCCTGTGCACAGATTATTAAGGATGCTTGTTTCAGCTGTGAGATTAGACGATAGGATCAATGAAAAAATAAGTTGTCACACACTCCATGGAAACTTTCAGAGAATCCACAAATAGTGGCTTTCAAATGGTTTTGTTACTTTTTGCAAGTTTATAAAAGAAGCAGATGAGACAGCATGTCTGATAATTTAGTTTTTCATCTGATAATATTAGAACATGTCAGTAATGTCTGAGGGGCTTTTATAAACACCGTATAACTAACACTACTGGAGAGGGCATGAATTACACAGAGGCTTCTGGGGAGCCCAGTTATTGGGGGGGGGGGGGGGGGGGGGGGCATTTTGCCTTGGCCCCCAAAATGTCTTGAAACGGCACTGGGTGTGTGACTGAGTTTTGAAGGTGATCTGAATTGTATCAGATGTATAAATATTACATGTGTATAACTTGTTTTTTACTGGTAAAAACGTGTAGTGGAGATAAATCTACCTACATTTGACTTTTCAACACTTTGTTTTGTTTTCTTGTTTTTATTTAACTATTTTCCTGTCCTGTCTGTCTCTCATCTTCCTGCATCTCCTCTTAATTCTCCAGAAAATCTGTTGCCTGGATTCTTACCTTTTCACCTCATCAGTTACTTTTGAGCAGATCAAAGGGATCTCCTGACCGAAAAGCGCAGAGCGCGTTTTCGATGCTGCGTGAGGTGACATCACCACAGCACAGGTGATGAGCTCCGCAGCAGAGCGCTTCAGGCACAAATAAGACAGAAAATAGAGAACATGTGCGGACATGAACGATCGTGTGCTAATTATAGTTTTTTGGTTGCGCCACTTTGAGAATGGACCATGCGCTGGAAGAAGCTGCCTGGATCGCTGCGCGACAATGCGGAACCGGTTCGCAGCAGCGCAAGTCTCCCGGCTCTCCCTCGCGCTGATCTGCCGGTACCGGCTCTCCCTCACGCTGATCTGCGTCTCTCCCTCGCGCTGATCTGCCGGCTCCCCTTGCGCTGATCTGCCGGCTCTCCCTCGCGCTGATCTGCCGGCTCTCCCTCGCGCTGATCTGCGGCTCTCCCTCGCGCTGATCTGCCGGCTCTCCCCGCACTGATCTGCCGGCTCTCCCTCGCGCTGATCTGCGGCTCTCCCTAGCGCTGATCTGTGGCTCTCCCTCGCGCTGATCTGACTTGCTCTGGTCTGCGCGCAACGGCGGGCGGGAAGGGGGGGGGGGGCGCTTTTGGAAAAGTTGTGCGACACAACGAATCGATGACGCAATTCGTTGCCAACGCTTTTAGTAATCGATTTTCATCGAATTGATCGATTCGTTGTTGCAGCCCTAGACGGTAAGTTAACGTTCGGCGACGGAGAGAATATTAGAAGGCTCCGTCTGTGAACAGTTGAGCTAACTTACCTCAGAGATAAGCGACCACCGAAGCGAGAAGAGGTGATTGAATAGTGCGTACGTTGGGACGCTTGCTACTTATAGTAGCAGGGGGACGCGTACGTCACGGTCACTGGCCAATCAGGATTGGCGTATTGAGATAAGTGCTTCTGAGGAATCCGCGGAGGGGCGTATCCCATAGTGAGACATCGAAACGAATGTTAAGAAAGAGAACCTCCAACAGCTGCAGAGAACTGACCTCAGAACCTCCAGTCTACAGTCTGGACTCTCCAGGAAACCACAGAGATCCTTCACTACAGGACGAGACAGGGGGTTGTGACTCAGGTCCAGTTGTGTCAGATGGGACGGGTTGGACTTCAGAGCTGAGTCCAGAGAAGGACAGCTGATCTCTGACAACCTGCAGTCCTCCAACCTGAATAAAGAGTAAAATCAGAGAGCTGAAGCCAACAGGATGCAGGTTAAAACAGAAACATGAACTAAATCATTGAAATAAACTAAATTATTTTATCATGTCAGAAACAAAAACATGATGAACTGATGTTTAATATTTTATTCAGTAAAAGTTTTTTAACTTTTAAATGTAAATAGATTATTTAGTGTCCTTAGAGTCAATCATTTAGTTGTCCTCCCCATTTCCATCTTCTCTTCCAGTGTTATGTTCTGTGTTCCCTTGTCTTTATTTGGATTTAATCCAGTAGTGGGCCATCCTTCTGTTTTTTCTTTATTGCTCCCTAGTTTATCCTCATGTTTTTAGTCCATCCCAAGTGTTCACTTGATTTCATTATTACTCCTCCTATACTTGTTCACTTCCAGTCTTTATCATCTTCTGTTTGTCACTTTTTCTACATAAACCAAGTTACAGTGACGTACTGCCTCATAGTCATTATTGAAGTATTACTGTGGTAAAAGTAAAGTGTGCTCCAGACGACCCTCCTCTGGGAAGAAAAGAACCAGGAGGAACTGAAGTTCTGCCCAAGCTGCAGCCTGGTGGAAAAGGTGTCCAGGTGAGTTGTGCTAATCCCACTTTCTTTGAGTATTGTCGGTGGAAAAGAGCTAAACATGCATCCTGATAAGACACTTGTAGTTTCTTCATTACAGCCTGACTAGAGCTGCAGCACAAGTGGGCCGTATAGAAAGAGGTACAAGAGGAAGGACAAAGGGTCACTTTAATGTGGTCTGAGCACATGCTACAGTTACTCTACCAGAGTGTTAGCCTGCATGTACAGCTTACAGCACTGTCTCTTTACATCTCATCATCACACACATCACTTCTTAGAATGGACCAAAACATGTGATGTTTCTCATCACATCCAGGACTTGGTTCATTAAATAAAAGATGGAGAGTTCCGCTTCTGGTCCTCGTTACCTGCAGGGTTAAACATGAGGTCACACTGTTCACCATAGAAAAGACCCTGAGCAGCTGCTGCATGCCAGCACTGTAGGGACACCAGAGCACTAAATCACCTGCAGACATTCAATCATTTACAAGGAGGTGGTCCACCAAGCATCCAGTCTAGCATTCATTCAGTGCATCAGACACATCATCAAGGTTCAGGAGACAGACTCCACCATGTCTGACTCCATTAGGTACAGTGAAGACTTCAGAGACTTCCATTCCTCACTGAACCTGCATCAGTAGGTGAGAGGACCAAAACGCTGAAACGTTTAAACAAGCAGAAACAGAAACTTGTTTTTCTTCTAAAAACTTTTATTTGAACTTTTGTAAAAACTGAAAATTTCTGAAAAAAATAAAAGTTCAGATTAAAGTTTTGGAGTAAAAAAGTTTTTGTAAATAAATAAATAAATTCTGAAGCATCAGTGAATGATTTTAGTTTGTTAAACACAGAAAACCTCCAACAGCTGCAGAGAACTGACCTCAGAACCTCCAGTCTACAGTGTGGACTCTTCAGGAAACCACAGAGATCCTTCACTACAGAACCAGACCGGTAGTTCCAGCTCAGGTCCAGTTCTGTCAGATGGGACGGGTTGGACTTCAGAGCTGAGCCCAGAGAAGAACAGCTGAGCCCTGACAACCTGCAGCTCCTCAACCTGAATAAAGAATAAAAGCAGAGAGCTGAAGCCAACGGGATGCAGATTAAACCAGAAACATGAACTAAATCATTTAACCCTTGTAATGTGTTAGAAAGCTGTTTACACCTGTGGTGTTAGCGGGTCCATTTGGACTCATGATTTAAAAATGCTTGAAAAGGCTTAAAATCACCAGTTTTCTTCAAATGTTGTTTTTCAGCTAATTGCTGGCTTAGTCATTTAAATGGAACCAGTGTGTGAATTGTTTTTTAGTTGGCTCCACAGGCACAGTATTTTAAAATATAACACTCATTTTTGATTGCTAAAACTGTTTAAATTCACTAAATATATTTATTTTTCTTATAGAATGAGTAACAATAATCTATAAATGTGTTATAAACTAATATTAGAGTACACCTACCCAAAAAAATTTATCATTTTTTTACTATTTAAAATGATTAACAATACTGACATTTTTGGTGCTTCGGGTCAAAACAAACCCACATAGATAAATGGTAGGATAAATACAACAAGTAACATTTGTTTTTCCATAAAACCAACTTTTATTTAACCATTAAATGAACAATGATATACAACACTGTGTGTGTGTGTGTGTGTGTGTGTGTGTGTGTGTGTGTGTGTGTGTGTGTGTGTGTGTGTGTGTGTGTGTGTGTGTGTGTGTGTGTGTGTGTGTGTGTGTGTGTGTGTGTGTTGGTGATGTGGGCCATAACTGATCCTCAGAGGAACCCATAGCTTTTAATTGATGCATACAACAGCCGTTTTCTCTGCCGGGTCATTTTGGACCCGTTACACCACAGATGTAACTGATTTGTTTTGAGACATTTAGAATTTAGTAAAATTGTGAAAATTGATTTTGCAGCATTTAAATAGGCGCGTCTGAGGTTTAGATGAAGCCTCATTCCAGGACAAAGAAGGAAAGTGTACTTTTTACAGTTAAACTTGAAAACGGGTCCATTTTGACCCTAACACAACAGAAGGGTTAAATAAACTAATGTAGCGACATGAATGGCCTCATATTTGTGACCCAAAGGTCACACTTCCCCAGCTGGGTCAAGCTGTAACTTTTGTTCCACAGATTATCCATCAGGAGCCGTGAAGTCTGCTAAACACCGTCTTTTATCTTTCTGCTGTTCCGTCCCAAGATGAAGGACACATCAGGATTTTTGAATAATAATTTTAATAAACTGTTTTTACTGTTTATTACAATCATATAATAATCGTCACAAATAATTACCATGGTTCATTATAAATGTATTTAATTACTGAAATGACTTATTATTCTTTGGGTTAATAATTATTATTATTTATGATAATCAGTAATGTGTGATCAGTAACCAGAAGGTCATTTGCACATGTACACCTCATGCAGGACTGAATCAAGGGTAAAAGTTAACTTGTTCTCACATGTCTTTGCTCCATAACAAAAAGCTTTCTGACACTGAGAGGGCGCATTCTGAGGATTTGTTAAAACTAAAATCTCAGCAGCTCAAGTCCAGTTCTTCAACCAACCAGAGGACGAGGGTCGGCCGCCTGAATCCTCACTAAGCGTTCTGTCACACCGATAGAATTGCTCCGAATAAATGCACCTGTAACCAGCTGATGCAAAACTCCTTCAGAGTAATTGATTTTGAGACGCAAATAGTTTCATCAGTCATTGTGACCCGGAGACATCTCAGGACCAGATTTGAGTCGCACTGAGGTCCTTCTACCAACCTCGTGCTCGGAGGAAACCATCTCCACTTGACATCTCGAATCCACAGAGGGTCTCCTGAACTGGGTGAGGTAGACACTGTCCGACAGATGTCGTCTGTATCTTGTTATCTCTAAGAAACATCAGTTAGCTGCAAAATAATATTTTTCACCCAGAACGCGTTTCTGTCTCCGAAAGAAATCTTCTGAGATTTCATCCACGCATCCAAACCTCGCATTTGAATTTAGCTTTTCATTCAGACACAAGTTTGCTTTTAATATCAAGCTGTTACAAATTGTCAGTTACAAATTGCCACTCCTTTAAATTGTCATTTTCAAATTGTCAGCTTTAACATTTTTAGTAATAAATTCTTAACTTTTTAAACCTGTGTAGCGTCACGAAGGTCCTCTAATTTGTGACAAAGGTCACATTTTCCTAGCTAGGTCAAGCTGGGTCAGACTGTAACTTTTAGTTCCATAGATTAATCCAGGAGTCTTGATGTCTGCTGAATATCATCTTTATCCGCTGCTCTTCCATCCCAGATTGAAGGACACTTCAAGATCACAATAATAATTTAAATAATAATTTTAATAAACTCTTTGACTTTATTACTGTTATTATAATCATCATAAATAATCTCTTGGTACAGTATAAATGTATTTTAATTACTGAAATGAATTATTATGCTTTGGGTATAATAACCAGAAGGTCATCTCGCATGTAACCAGCCTCATTCAGAGGGTATCCAGGGTAAAAGTAAACTGCCATCAAATGTCTTTGACTCATGACCAAAGCTTTCTTGCTGAGAGTGGGCGTGTTCTGAGGGGTTTGTTAAAATTAAATTTCCAGCAGCAAAAGTGCAGTTCGTGAACCAACCACCATACTGAGGATAAGGGAACGGCCGCCCTGAAGCCTCTCCCTTCTGTTCTGTCACGCTGATAGAATAGCTTCAAATAAACGCACCTGTAACCAGCTGACGCAAAACTCCTTCAGAGTTAAGCCAGAATGCTCGACACCATGTACCCTGCGACATCTCTGGACCAGAGGATCGTACTGCTCGCGTCTGATCTACCAGGCCGAGTACCCAGAGGCTGAGAACATCCTCCTCGCAGTGGCGGCTGGCCAGTAGAGGGCGATAGGGCACCGCCCTCCCAGTTTTTCCGTGTTTTTAATTTTTATTTGAAAAAAATAAATAAATAAAGTTAACAATAATCACATATTCTAAGTTAATTGTGTGTTTTGTAACAAAAATAAATCATATATATATATATATATATATATATATAGGTCTCTGCCGGTCTCTGCCGATCTCTGCCGAGCGGTGGAGGCTGTGTGCTGTTTTTCAATCGCCCAAACAGGCCGAGACCAGCTGTCCAATTGCTGACAAGAATATCAAATGGTAGGAATGAGAATATATCCAGTCAGCGTCGACGTTGTTTCAGAACGTTTCAGAAGCATGATGGGCGATGGAGCTACCACCAAAGGATTCGTTGGTGTTCGGTAGAACTCGGCAGAGTCGTTTTTGGTCCTGACGCAGATGTAACATGGACGCCGCTGGTGACTACAACCAGCATGGATGCCGGATCTCAGCAGCCACTGAATTCAGTTCGGTCTCTTCTCCAGTATCCGTTCGAGAGGAGAACTATGGTGGAAAAACTTAATGTCAAAGAGCTTGGACCAGATCAGCCCGACGTAAAGATAAGCCAGCAGGAGAAGGAGAGAGGTAAACTGTACACACTAGGCTTCTCCCGAAATTGGTACACCAGGAAGGCTTGGCTAGCTGGATGCAATCACGCTAATGCGTTATTTTGCTTTCCGTGTTTGTTATTCAAAACGGCTGGGACAGATAAGGCATGGATGAGTCAGGAGTTACAGACATGAAACATTTTTCTGAGAAGGGGAAGAAACACGAGTCATCCCGGGCACACATGGACAACAACACGGTGAAGCTAGCCATGCTAGGCAGCAGAGCTAACGTTGCCATGCAGGGAACAACAGCAGCTGGGTGCAGAGGTAAGCTGTACATTACATTTCTGTGAACAAGACAATCAGAATCAGAAATCCTTGGTTGTCCCACAAACCGGGACATTTGTTTAATAACATGTTTAATGTGCAATAACTGTAAAAACTAATTTCAACACACATACTTATTATACATATTTAATCACGTAAATGTGTATTTCATGTAAATTTGTACATACATCAATCTGATTCCAGTTTACTTGTTACACTTCTGCTGCAGCAAACAAATTTCCCTTTTGGGACAATTAAACATTTCTGATTCTCAATGAGATGTTTTTACCTCAAATGTAAAAGCATCTGATTGAAAATCAGAAATGTTTTATTGTCACAAAAACTGGGAAATATGACATTTGTAAGAGGATACTGATGACATTATTTCCTATAAAAGTGTTTCCTATGTACTTATCTGTTGTGTTTTATTTATCATATGACAGGTTTTTCACACCATCCTGAGCCATGCAAAAGAAGATTCTTGTCACCACACCCATGACCACAGCCGAATCAGAAAGGTGCTTTTCAACTTTAAAGAGGATTAAGACTTTCCTTGAGGAACACCATGACACAGGATGGGCTGAATGCTCTTGCCATGCTCTCCATGAAAAAAAAAGCTTGTCACAAACATTCCTGACTTCAATAAAAAGCTAATCGAGAGCTTTGCCACTCGAAGGACAGAAGGGCAAAATTTCTGTACAAATGAGGTATCACACACACACAAATGCATCCTCTTGATCTTTGTATAAAGTTGACCTTGGCACAACACTCCAGAAATATTTAACAGTGTAAATTTCTGGCATTTTGTCTAAGTGGTGTTTACTACCATTACTGTAACAGTGACCTGCTCATAATTTTTCGTGTTCACTCAAATGTTGAAATTAAACAAAATGGTTTTGTTACTTGCCTCTTGCATTGCCTATTTACCATTTATGGTCATGTTATTTTATGTGCAATTTAATGCAGTATTTTTCAACCTTGGTCTGCAAGGCAGCGTGCCAATAGTCAGACACACCTGGATTAATCAGTTTGTCCAATGATGTAAGACAGGAAATAAAAGAGCTGTGCTTAATTCAGGAAATAGTGAAGTTGTGCACAAAGCTCAGAAAGCACAAGTTTGTTTAAAAATAAAAAAATAGTACAGCCCCACCAAAAATATTTTTCACCAGCCGCCACTGCCTCCTCGACCTCCGGATCCACACAGAGTCGTCTTGCTGGGTGAGGTAACACACAGATTGTGTTTGATGCTGTTTCTCTAAGAACGACTCAGTTAGCTGCAAAACCATCATGTCACCCAGAACGAGTTCCTCTCTCTGACAGAAACCTTCTGAGAATCCATTCACGCATCCAAGCTCTCATTTCATTTTAGCTTTCCATCAAGTCACAGGTAAAGCTTTTGATACCAAGTTTAATATCAAAGCTGGTAAATTGTCATCCATGAATTGTCATTTTTAATTGTCATTTAAATTGCCATTTCTGAAGTGTCGTTTCAAATTGTCAAGTTTAAAATTGTTGGTAATAAATTCTTAACTTTAAAAACTTGACTCTCTTCTTGAAATGAAACACAGAATGGTATAAATATTTCTGGTTATTGAAAAAGCAAAGATTCCTAACTTCTGATTCAAAAATAAACTTTTGCTATTAAATTTAATTATCTTAAATTAAACATTAATATTTGGATTAAATATAGACCAAACAGGTTGGTGTATGAACTTCTATCGATTATATAAGTATCCTGGATATTTATACATGATATAGGCTCATATGCTAATGTGCTCAGTCATTCTCAGAATCTAACAACTGATAGCAAACAGTCTTGATTCTAGTATGTAGAATACGCTACACCTGACTCTTCTCTGAAATGAAACACAGAAAGGTGTATATTTGGTTATTGAATAAGCAAAGAATCCATTAAGTCTTATGTTTAATAAATAACTTTTGTTATTAAATTTAATTATCTTAAATTAAAAATTAACCTTTCGATTAAAATATAGACCAAGACAGTTGGTGTATGAACTTCTATCAATTGTATTAATATCCTAGATATTTATGCTTAATATTGTCACAATCTGCCCCAGCCCTCCTGACTGTCTCTCTCCTGCCCTGATTAGTCCTTATTGTTTTCACCTGTCCCTCGTTAACCTGCCCATGTTTTCCCAATCAGCCTTGTGTATTTATACCACCTGTTTTGCTCCTGTCCTTTGTCAGATCATTGCTGTTTCAAGTCATCGTTGTGTTTGTTCCTGCCGTTCCCGTTCTGTAATTAAACCATTTTTATTTTTTCATCCGTGCCTGGTCTTCTGCCTCCTGAACCCTCCACCACACTTGGTCTGCCATCTCCACACCCATAACGTGACAAATATAAGTTCATATGCTAATGTGTCAGATCTTTTCTCAGGATCTAACCAAACTGATAGCAAACAGTGTTAAATCCTAATGTATAGATTGTCAACGCTCCACTAAATTATTTTACATGATATCACTGTTCAATAATACAGATTATATCTCAATTATTAATATTTTAATGAAATGACTATTTTAATGAAATGACTATTATTAATGTGGAATATTTTTGATACGTTATTGAACAATAGATAATATTTCTGATCTAATATAGATTATTAGAATAATTTAGAATATTTTATATGTGAGGATCTGCCTCATCATCATCTTCCTCCTGTTCATTATCATCACTGATGGTGAGATTGGTTGGTGCAATAACTGTCCTCCATTTTCCAGAGAAATCTTAGCTTAAAACTGCTAAATAAATTCAATATCATAATTGTTATTATGACTGTTACCATGAATATTAAGATTATGTCTAAAAACAACAGATTTTACCTAAAATATTCATAATTTCTTTAACCTGTTCAGGGCGCGTGTACAAATGTGGCAGATTTGATTTTCATGCTAAGATTTCACCAACATTATTGAGTTTAACATTTACAACACATGTATCCTTATTGAGCACAACTAGTCAGCCTGGTGATGTGAGACTTTCATAAATCTAGCGTTGTTAGTTTTAGAGATCTGACCGTAAACACGAGAGGAGACCAGCAGTTTTCTGGCTCTGAAAAATGGTCAAGTTAGTTTTTGTACCTGGTGGTTGCAACAAACAGACATGAAAATAATCAGAAGTGAGGAACAGAAAATGAAATAATTATTTTAATGTTTAGAGCAGCAGAAACTCTGAGAGGCTGCAGGCGCATCAGTGAGTTTGCGGCTGCTGCGCAGGGGGAGGGGGGAGAGGGCTGAAGCAGGGGGAGGGGGGAGAGGACTGAAGCAGGGGGAGGGGGGAGAGGACTGGATCAGGGGGAGGGGGGAGAGGGCTGAAGCAGCTGGGGAACAGTAAAGATGCAGAAACTACCGTTATTAAGAGAAATGGGTGTTAACTTAGAAAATGTTGGCGCAATGTGTATTGTCAAAAACTTCAGCAAACTAACGTTGTTAGTAGGGATGTAAAAGAATATCGATATGGCAATATATTGTGATATTTTTTCTAGCAATATTATATCGATATTCAAAAGCCGTGTATCTAATTCTTGAAAGAATTTACATGCAAACTTTTTCTTTTCGTTTTGTGCAATTCAATCGCCACCTGCTAGTTGGCAGCAGTGTGCAACGGGTTTTGTTTCCACCATTGAAATGTAAATCCCTCCATCATGGTTCAGATACCTCATGTTAAACATGTTACGTATCAGTTTGGACTGTTTATTGAACATTCTTAAAATAAATTCAGTAAAAAAAATTGCTTGTAACGTCTGAATGAATGTATCGCAATATATTGTGATATATCGTATCGTCTCCCCTGTATAGTGATATGTATCGTATCGCCAGAATTTCAAAAATACACATCCCTGGTTGTTAGTTTTAGAGATCTGACCGTAAACACGAGAGGAGACGAGCAGTTTTCTGGCTCTGCAGACACACCAACAGTTGACCCGTTATAGCTCCGCCCTGATTGGTGGAATGGCGCCATGGCGCAAACCGTGACTAGCTTGATCTCTGATGATTGTTTGGGTGAAATCTCGTAATTCTAAGAGTTCGTGAAAAAACACACTGACATCATTTATGATGTGAGAGGAAGTGTCTAAATATGGACGTTGGCCCTATAAAGGGTTAAACACAGAAAACCTCAAACAGCTGCAGAGAACTGACCTCAGAACCTCCAGTCTACAGTCTGGACTCTCCAGGAAACCACAGAGATCCTTCACTACAGAACCAGACAGGTGGTTATCACTCAGGTCCAGTTCTGTCAGATGGGACGGGTTGGACTTCAGAGCTGAGCCCAGAGAAGAACAGCTGTTCTCTGACAACCTGCAGTCCTCCAACCTGAATAAAGAATAAAAGCAGAGAGCTGAAGCCAACAGGATGCAGGTTAAAACAGAAACATGAACTAAATCATTGAAATAAACTAAATTATTGTATCATGTCAGAAACAAAAACATGATGAACTGATGTTTAATATTTTATTCAGTAAAAGTTTTTTAGGGATGCGCAGTGGTTAGAGCTGTTCCCTTGCAGCAAGAAGGTCCTGGGTTCGCTTCCCGGCCTGGGATCTTTCTGCATATAGCTTGCATGTTCTCCCTGTGCATGCGTGGGTTCTCTCCGGGTACTCCGGCTTCCTCCCACCATCCAAAAACATGACTGTTAGGTTGATTGGTCTGTCTAAATTGTCCTTAAGTGTGAGTGTGTGCATGATTGTTTGTCCTGTGTGTCTCTGTGTTGCCCTGCGATGGACTGGCTCTCTGTCCAGGGTGTACCCCACCTACTTGCCCGTTGACTGCTGGAGATAGGCACCAGTCCCCCCCCCACCCCCCCACCCCCCAGACCCCACGTGGACTAAGCGGGTTCAGAAGATGGATGGATGGATGGATGGAAACGTTTTTTAACTTTTAAATGTAAATAGATTATTTAGTGTCCTTAGAGTCAATCCTTTAGTTGTCCTCCCCATTTCCATCTTCTCTTCCAGTGTTATGTTCTGTTCCCTTGTCTTTATTTGGATTTATTCCAGTAGTGGGCCATCCTTCTGTTTTTTCTTTATTGCTCCCTAGTTTATCCTCATGTTTTTAGTCCATCCCAAGTGTTCACTTGATTTCATTATTACTCCTCCTATACTTGTTCACTTCCAGTTTTTATCATCTTCTGTTTGTCACTTTTTCTACATAAACCAAGTTACAGTGAAGTACTGCCTCATAGTCATTATTGAAGTATTACTGTGATAGCGTACCAAAGGGCCAAGTATTTCATCAAAAAGACCAAAGTTAACTTTTAACTAAAGGCCTAAACTGCTTCATACAGGTCAATCTGACACCGTGGTGTCGACATGAAGTCTATGAACTTGAGCAGATATTCTTAACTTATCCTGCATATGCCAGAACATCATCAAGGCTGCAAGAAGACGCAGGACTTCTTATCTATCCTCTTTGATGTAAAGTTCATCTTGTCACGTCGGGAGCCAGGAGGAGGTTAGGACCCAAGGATGCAGAAATTCCAGATGACAACAGGGTGGAGAAATAACGTAAAATCCTTTATTAATGACTAAATCAAAAAAAAAAAAAGGCAGGGAGCCAAAAACGAAAATCACAAAGTCCTAATAACAAAACCTAGAGAGTCCAAAAATGTATGAAACCAAAATCTAGAGAGGGGAACGAGACAAGGGTGACAAGAACAGAGATGTAAGGTCCCACCTTTCGTCAAACTTTTTGACAGGTCTATTGTTCTTTGACCTCATGACCTTGCCCCCCCTTCCCTAGCCTAAATCAGATTGGCATGCGTATTGTTCATTGACCCAATGACCTTGGCCGCCCCGCCCTAGCATAAAGCAGATTGGTATGCGTATTGTTCATCGACCTAGTCCCCCATCTTAGCCTAAATCATATTGTCAGCAGTCTCTTTTGTGAAGATCTATATGTTAAGAAAATGACTGGGTGTAATGGTGCATGAAGTTTCCTTTTGTGAATCATTTTAGTTACGCTTGATAACTGTTTTGTGTTAGCCCTGCAGTTCCCACAGCCCCCCCCCCCCCCCCCCCCTCATACGTAATACCATCTAACCCTGATTGCCTCTTTAAAAGCTCAGATTCATTTCAAGGGTCAGACTGAGATCGTGTCAGAACGGTGAAAAGCCAAAGAAATACCTCTAAGAAAATGGTGAAGCAAGAGTCTACCCTAGAGGTGAAGGAAGTGAAGCAAGAGGAGATGGATGAAGCACCAACTCAAGAGGAGAAGGAAGAAGTGTCTACATCCGATGCTTCAACTTCAACCCAAAATGTGAAAGAAGAGTGTGGATATGCTATCACTGCTATCACAAATCTTGCTTTGTGAAAAATCCATAGCGATCCATCCAGAAACAGCTCAGTAATTTAACAACTCAGATATGAAGTTATAGATGTCTAAATAATGACAGTACAGAATAGTTAAACTCCAGGAAATACGACACATAACTTAGATTCACACGCATGTCTTTTAAATGGATCTACACACACACACACACACATGCACGCACACACACACACACACACACACACGCACACACGCACGCACGCATGCACTCACACACACAGCATATTTCTCTAAAAAGTAAAAGATTTTTAGGGTTACATTCAGACATGTGTCTCCAACTCTAAACCATTCAGCCACACCTCTCTTTATACTTCACAACAAAATCACCCCATCTCAGCCACAAAGCATTTGAATTACCCGTTGTTCTGTGGTGGGTTTTTAAACAGTGCCAGGAAGTTTGTGAACAAAAAACTAGTTGATCATTTACCATCCATTTGGCTATGCACTTTCAGAAATGCCTGATCCTGAGACTAGTAAAGTAGGGTGACCAGATTTAAAAAACTGAAAACTGGGACACCAAAATTTTACACAAAATTAAATACTGACAAATCCTTGCTGGTGACTTATAACTGCTTTTTATTGTACAAAGTGCAACAACATTTGAACATCATATTAAAAATAAGGACATTCTTTTTTAGTGCAACGTTTTGTTATTTTCTTTTTCAAAATAATACTGTATTTGTGAAACACATTGGGCAATTTTAAATGTAGCCCTTTTGTGAAAAGATAAACAAAGAATTTAACTGACCTTAATAACAGCTTTTGATTGTAGAATGTGCAAGAACAGAAACATTTGATCTATATTCAAAATAAGGACAGTTTTTCTAATATTTTTAGTGCAATCGTTTTCCAAAACAATACAGTATTTTTTAAACACATTTGTTTGGGCAATATTAAATGTGGCCCTTTTGTGAACAAAAAAAGTATTTCACTGACTTCAAGTTTTTTAGAAAAAAAAATATTGCACTAAATGAACAGCCCTATTGTTCCCTTTAATGTCACAGTAACTCTTTAAGAGTATTTCATGTTTGAGTGAATCTTTTTACGCAGACTGTGGTTGTCAACAAGTCTGGCATGAAACTCAGAGCAGTCATCAAAGTTCACCCGAGTAACGAGCAGTGCCTTCAGAATTTCCAGTCCCAGACGATTTCTCTCATTGGTCCAAGTGTTGTTCATGAGAGAAAAAATGCGTTCCACAGAGGCGTTTGTGCCAGGTAGGCACATGGCAAACTGGCAGATGACGGCTACATTTTTAAATGGGACATTCTGATGCTTAAAATGTATTAAGATTTCAGCCCAGCGCTCATCTGCTGGTTTAATGTCTCGGTCCCACTGTCCAATCATGTCAGATGTGTAAGTTTTGACAGAAGTAACTTCCTCAAAGAGCTACGTTTCATTGATGTGAATGTTTGGCAGCTTTGAGGAGACATACCTCAGGGAGCTCTCAACCTCATCCCAACCTGGTGAATCTTCAAGCAGGGTCCAAGACAGACACTTCATGTCAGTAAATGAGGAGCTCCACTCCTGCAGATTTGAGATGCAACCTTCATAGAAGGTGTGGACGCTTTGCTTAAACACCTCCACTTGAGGGCGCTCTTGGGTAGCCAGAATGCTATGGGGTGTCATTTGTAAAGTCAAACAGTCATAATCTAACAACAATATTTTTGGTTATTTAGCATATCATAAGAGAAAAAATTGGGAGTTCACTTTTTCAAAGTCATATTTTCACCATGTTATTCATACATTTATAAATGTTAAAGTTTCCAAATATATATTTAGTTACCAAGCTAAATATTTAATTTATAGTTAAATATTTATTTTGCAAACTAAATATTTTGGTCTGATCTAAATATTTAGTTTGTAAAATAAATATTTAATTCACTAACTAAATATTTAATTTACTAATTAAATATTTATTTTGGAACTAAATATTTGATTTGTTAATTAAATATTTATTTTCCGGAAAATTATTTAGACCCCAGCTAAATGTTTATTTTGGTGCTAAACATTTAGTTTGCAAAATCAGTATTTGGGAAATAAATATTTAAGTCTGACCCAAAAATATAAGTGTGGGGCTAAATAACATTGTGGGAAATAAATATTTAGCTGGTACTTAAACATTTACCTAATATGCAAATTCGCTTGCTAATAAGCAGAAGTTGATTACCAAAATAAAAGCTGGATCTCGCTAACTTCTTTATAAACTCTTGCTCCGAACCAGAACTGGTTTTATCTCCGGTTCTATTCTTCTGAACATGTCCAACATGTCCCTTTACTAGTCTCAGGATCAGGCATTTCTGAAAGTGCATAGCCAAATGGATGGTAAATGATCAACTAGTTTTTTGTTCACAAACTTCCTGGCACTGTTCAAAAACCCACCACAGAACAACGGGTAATTCAAATGCTTTGTGGCTGAGATGGGGGTGATTTTGTTGTAAAGCATCACCAGAGGTATGGCTGAATGGTTTAGAGTTGGAGACGCATGTCTGAATGTAACCCTAAAAATCTTTTACTTCTTAGAGAAATGTACTTTGTGTGTGCGTGTGTGTGTGTGTGTGTGTGTGTGTGTGTGTGTGTGTGTGTGTGTGTGTGTGTGTGTGTGTGTGTGTGCGTGTGTGTGTGCGTGTGTGTGTGTGTGTGTGTGTGTGTGTGTGTGTGTGTGTGTGTGTGTGTGTGTGTGTGTGTGTGTGTGTGTGTGTGTAGATCCATTTACAAGACATGCGTGTGAATTGAAGTTATGTGTCTTATTTCCTTGAGTTTAACTATTCTGTACTGTCATTATTTAGACATCTATACCTTCATATCTGAGATGTTAAATTATCGGGCTGGTTCTAGAGATTTATGCTTGGCTAAGGGTAAGACAGTAAAGGGTTGATAAAGAAGGTTTGACCAGAAGTGATAAAATTGGCTTGTATAAGTAGCTGCTGTCATTATGCTTTAATTCATGTTTCCATAGTATCAAAACTGACTGGATGTGATGTATTTTAGTAAATCTGATCCATCATATTCCCTCTGCTCACATCTTTTTTCACAGATGTGCCTTTAAACAAAATGGTCTCTTTATGTTTAAATGTTACAACAATTGAATGTAAATTTCGGAATTAGATCTAGCAATGGTCAAACATTAATTTAATGTGTGTGTGTGTGTGTGTGTGTGTGTGTGTGTGTGTGTGTGTGTGTGTGTGTGTGTGTGTGTGTGTGTGTGTGTCGACAGTATCCCTTGACATGAATCTGAGCTTTTAAAAAGGCAAGCAGGGGTGGTGGGAGTTGTGGGTTATGATGGGTGGGAACTGTGTGGCTAACTCAAAGCAGTGCAAATCAACAATATACATCTGGACACAAGGGTCTCAGGTGTGAAAGTTTAACACAAAACAGTTATCAAGCATAACTAAAATGGTTCAGATCAACAACACACATCTTCACAATAGAGGATTTCATGCGCCATTACACCAAATTAGTTTTCTTAACATATAGGATCACAATTGAATGAGAGGTGGTCGTGGGAACTGTGTGGTTATCTTATCATATAGATCTTCACAAAAGAGACTACTGACAATACACCTGCCAATCTGATTTAGGATGGGGGGGGGGGGGGTGCAAGGTCCTGAGGTCAAAGAATTATAGGCCTGTCAAGAACCTTGACGAATGGTGGGTCCTTATACTCTCTCCTGAGGTACACCGACGTATTTATAATAAAGAATAAATATAGTGTGAATTTTGTAATGATTTTATGTTGCAGAATGAAAAAGTGTTGCTTTTACCCATTTAGGTAAGAGTTTGTGACTGCCCGCTGCTGGATTGTGAGACGAGTGCAGAAGGATGTGTCATCATTAAAGTGGACAAAGAGAACACCTGTGCTGGTGCACCAGTCTTCTTTGGGTCATTTCATGTACTGAAACACGCTACAACAACTAGCTTACATTCAGTCATTTCATTCATTGTCTTGTAATCATTAGTTTAGAAATACAGAATTCAATTAATTTTATAAACTTTATTCTTGACTCTGTCTGAAATAACATGAAGTGTGTGTTCCCTGAATAGACAAATTAATATTAAATCAAATATTCAAAGACCAATCAGATTGATAATTCATACCTATATGGAATATCACATCTTATTGATCATTTTAATACATGTAGCATAAATCTACCTCGCTAGTTCTGAAAAAAGTAAAAGTTCAGATTCAAGTTTTGGAGTAAAAAAGTTTTTGTAAATAAATTCTGAAGTATCAGTGAATGATTTTAGTTTGTTAAACACCGAAAATCTCCAACAGCCGCAGAGAACTGACCTCAGAACCTTCAGTCTACAGTCTGGACTCTCCAGGAAACCACAGAGATCCTTCACTACAGAACCAGACAGGTCGTTATCGCTCAGGTTCAGTTCTGTCAGATGGGACCGGTTGGACTTCAGAGCTGAGCCCAGAGAAGAACAGCTGATCTCTGACAACCTGCATTTCTTCAACCTGAATAAAGAATAAAAGCAGAGAGCTGAAGCCAACAGGATGCAGGTTAAAACAGAAACATTAACTAAATCATTTAACCCTTGTATTGTGTTAGTAAGCTGTTTACACCTGTGGTGTTAGCGGGTCCATTTGGACCATCGACATATACACATATGGACAACGGATTTCCACAGGCTCCAATAACACGTTTTTGAGGAGAAATGGGAGGTGGCCACCACCGCCATTTTGACCGTGTCACAAATTCCGTCAAGCCCAGACAATTCCACAAAAGGGAAGAGAGGTGGAGCTGAGGGTGGGGCTGTAAGGCTGGGATCAAATGACGACACTCGGTCGAACTAGCTACAAGCTAACCTGAAGCTAATCCAAAGCTAACGCGAAGGTGGGAGCTAAGCTAATGGAGGTAGCTACCCAGCTGCAACCGGAGCTAACTCTGTGGAACACCAGCGACCTGAAGCTCACACGGAGTTTGTGCGGAGGTTTGCGGCACTTTTTCATGAAAACTATCTTTCTGTGAATAAAAAAGTATTAAATCGGTAAGTTTATAAGTTATTTCCTTAATGAAAATATATTTTCCTTTGAGCAAGTTTTCGATATTTTTAACGTACCTTATTTTCCGACTATAAGTCACTCCGGAGTATAAGTCGCACCAGCCATAAAATATATAACGAAGAAGAAAAAAACATATATAAGTCGCACTGGACTATAAGTCGCATTTTGGGGGATATTTTATTATTTTTCTCACAAAATCTGAGACCAAGTGTTTCACATTGCAAGACAAGTACCGGTAACAATAACAGAATAAACAACGCGGGTGCAGCAGCCACGGTCATTTTGGACCCGTTTCACCACAGATGTAACTTATTTGTTTTGAGACATTTAGAATTTAGTAAAATAGTGAAAATTGATCTTGCAGCATTTAAATAGGTGTGTCTGAGGATTAGATGAAGCCTCATTCCAGGACAAAGAAGGAAAGTGTACTTTTTACAGTTAAACTTGAAAACGGGTCCATTTGGACCCTAACACAACAGAAGGGTTAAATAAACTAAATTATTTTATCATGTCAGAAACAAAAACATGATGAACTGATGTTTCATATTTTATTCAGTAAAGGTTTTTAAAACCAGCAGAAACAGAAACTTGTTTTTGTTCTAATATAGTTGATTTAAATTTTTAGAAAAACTGAGAAAGTTCTGGAAAATATTAAAGTTTTAATGAAAGTTTTTAAATGAAAATAAATAAATGAATTGTGAAGAACCAGTGAATGATTTTGTCACACCCTGTCCTGTGTTCTCCTAGGTTGTAGTTTGTGTCTCCGTTAATTGCTCCCACCTGCCTCTTGTTTCCCAATCACCATAGCTCCCGTTCCTCATGTATTTAAACCCCTGCTGTTCTGTGTTCCTTGTGGTGTCATTGTTTCATTGTCCAGCGTGCTTAATAAACCCTTGTTAATCGTTCGTTCCTTCCTTCCTTCCTTCCTTCCTACCTGCCTGCCTGTTTCCTCCCCGGTCTGGATCCACGCCTTTCCTCCGCTCCACACCGCGCACGTCGTGACAGAATGACACCAACCGAACCCGTTGATGGATCCAGCCGGGAGATTCTGCCCTGGGAGAACCTGCTCCATTGGCTCACGTCTGACCACCGGCCAGCTTCTCCATCTCCTTCTGCCCCAGTTCCACCTCGCCGCCGCCGGCGTCGCCGACCTTCGGCCGCAGCGTTCCTCCCTGTCCTCCCGGAACCGGAGGCATGTTTGGACCGGGAGCCGCTGCCAGATCGCTCCAGCTATGAGGGCACCAGGCTGGCGATCTGTTCCCCCGGAGTCGGTCCACGGCGTGGGGAGAGACGCCGGAAGCCACCACAGCCCAGCGCTTCTGGACGGAGCTTCGAGCCCGCCGCTGGCCGTGCCCGGCGCGGCAGTTCGGACACGCCCCCAGCCAGACCACCAGTCCCGTCTCCTGCCGAACCGGAGCCTCCGTCGGTTGCAGAGGAAGGAGCAGCAATCGCGGCCCGGCTGATGGAGCAACGGGCGGAGCTAAGCCGGTTCCGCGAGCTCCTCAGCCGCAAGGAGTCTCACCTGGACGCCCTATCCTCCTCGTCCCAGGGCCAGAGGAGCGAGCGCGGGGTTCCCTCAGCTGAGCTCACCGGTCAGTGGGCTGAGCTGGCCCAGCTCCGTTGGACGCTCAGCCTCAGGGAGCTACAGCTGGACGAGCTGACCTCCCACCTCTCCTCAATGCTCCAAGCCCTCTTAGCAGTGGCTCTGCCACCGGCCCAGAAGCAGACGGCACCGGCCCATAAGCCAACCGAGCGGGCCCAGAGACGGAGGGTACCGACCCGGAAGCAGATGGAGCCGGATCCGGTCCAAAACTCGGTGGTTCAGAAGTCGAGGGACCAGAAGCCGACTCCTCCGGGCCAGAAGCAAACGGCTCCGGTTCCGGTCCAGAGGTCGACGGTCAGAAAATCGAAGGACCAGAAGTTGACGCCCCAGGATCCGAAGCCGACGCCGCCGGCCCAGAAGTCGATGGTGGCCGACGCCCCTTCCTGTTCTAAAGTCGACGCCCCTTCCTGTTCTGAAGTCGACGCCCCTTCCTGTTCTGAAGTCGACGTGTCCGAAGTCGACGTCCCCGCAGTCGCCACCTCTGATGACGGCTCATCTGATGACGTCGCCTCCTTCTCCTCTGAAGTCGGCTCGTCTGATGACGTCACCTCCTCCACCTCCGAAGTCGGCTCGTTTGATGACGTCGCCTCCCAAGTCGACTCGTCCGGTCGGCTCGTCTGATGACGTCCCCGAAGTCGGCTTGTCTGATGACGTCGGCGCCACCTCTGATGACGTCCCCGAAGTCGGCTCGTCTGATGACGTCGCCGCCACCTCTGATGATGTCCCCAAAGTCGGCTCGTCTGATGACGTCGCCGCCACCTCTGATGACGGCTCGTCTGATGACGTCGCCTCCCAAGTCGGCTCGTCCGAAGTCGGCTCGTCTGATGACGTCCCCGAAGTCGGCTCGTCTGATGACGTTGCCGCCACCTCTGACGACGTCCCCGAAGTCGGCTCGTTTGATGTCGCCGCCACCTCTGATGACGTCCCCGAAGTCGGCTCGTCTGATGACGTCGCCGCCACCTCTGATGACGGCTCGTCTGATGACGTCGCCGCCACCTCTGAAGTCGGCTTGTCTGATGACGTCGCCTCCTCCTCCTCTGAAGTCGGCTCGTCTGATGACGTCGCCTCCTCCTCCTCTGAAGTCGGCTCGTCTGATGACGTCGCCTCCTCCTCCTCTGAAGTCGGCTTGTCCGATGACGTCGCCTCCCAAGTCGGCTCGTCCGAAGTCGGCTCGTCCGATGAAGTCGCCTCCCAAGTCGGCTCGTCCGAAGACGTCGCCTCCCAAGTCGGCTCGTCCGAAGTCGGCTCGTCTGACGTCGCCTCGTCTGGGGTTGCTCTCTGCACTCAAGAGGTCGATGCTCCGTCCAGCCTGGCGTCTCCACGGTCTCCGGTTCCGATGGTGGTTTTGAGGGCCGCTCTGGCCCAGCCTGCAAAGACTTTGTCACCGGCCCAGCCTGCAGAGACTTTGTCGCCGGCCCAGCCTGCAGAGACTTTGTCGCCGGCCCAGCCTGCAGAGACTTTGTCGCCTGCCCAGCCTGCAGAGACTTTGTCGCCAGCCCAGTCTGCAGAGCTCCTCTATCATAGATGCAGGTCCTCAAGAGTCCGTCCTCGTCTCCTCCTCTGCCGCAGGCGCCGGCCTCCAGAGGCCCGTCGCCTCCTCTTCTGCCGCAGGCGCCGGCCTCCAAGGGCCCGTCGCCTCCTCTTCTGCCGCAGGCGCCGGCCTCCAAGGGCCCGTCGCCTCCTCTTCTGCCGCAGGCGACGGGCCCCGGACTCTGCTGTTCCCTGCCACCTCTCCATTGTCCTCCGGGCCCTCCCTCCGGGTCCCCCTCCCCCCGCCCTGCTCCTGGTTCCTGTGGGCGTCTGGGATCCGCCCTTTGAGGGGGAGGGGGTACTGTCACACCCTGTCCTGTCTTCTCCTAGGTTGTAGTCTGTGTCTCCGTTAATTGCTCCCACCTGCCTCGTTTCCCAATCACCATAGCTCCCGTTCCTCATGTATTTAAACCCCTGCTGTTCTGTGTTCCTTGTGGTGTCATTGTTTCACTGTCCAGCGTGCTTAATAAACCCTTGTTAATCGTTCCTTCCTTCCTACCTGCCTGCCTGTTTCCTCCCCGGTCTGGATCCACGCCTTTCCTCCGCTCCACACCACGCACGTCGTGACAGATTTTAGTTGTTAACCCTTTATAGGACACTCATTGAAGTGTTTTCATTTTTAAATTTCAACCCCAGGGTGTTATTGCAGTCCATAACCAAAGTGTGTTTCTGTTGTTACAATTTTCATAAATATTTATTTTCATGCAGAAAACCAGAGAAAACAAAGTGATGAAATATGGATGTTGGCCCTGTTCTGGTAAAAGAAATCCCAAAATGAACACATGAACAAGTGAAATAAACAATATTTTTGAATAATATAGATAATTATAAGACACTTTAGAGATGATTTTAGAACATGATATCACTGTTCAATAATACAGATTATATCACAATTCAGAATCAGAATAAGCTTTATTGCCAGCGCTCCAGCGACCCAGAGCATAGGAACTTGACTCCGCAAACACAACCTGACCAAGGTTAAACACACACACGTAGACAAAAACAGGTACAGGCAGTCCACGAGAGCAGCCAGAAGGCGCTCATTTCATTAGATGAAAAGGGTGTTAGAGACATAATAAGATACCTTTCGTCAAACATTTTGACAGGTCTATTGTTCTTTGACCTTTTTGACCTTTCAGTCCTATTGTTCATTTTGACCCTTGACCTTGCCCCCCTTTCCTATCATTAATCAAATGGACATGTGTATTGTTGATCGTCCAGATGGCTTAGACCCCCCACGCCGCATCATCAATGGCGTATTGTTGAACGTCCAGATGTCCATGATCCCCCACGTCATAGGCTAATGTGTGTAATGGCC